GGAATTCTCCCCCGGTTGGCATCATTGGTGTGGTGTCAAATCAGTAGAAGCAAAAACAAAATACACGTAAGGCGAAGAAATCAGCTGATTAGTGATGTGCTGAATTGTCGGTACTCAATACTCGGTACCCTATACTTCAAAAATATTTCGGTACCCAATACTGCCTTTCCGGTACCCGATACCGATATATTTCAAGCTTATTTTATACGATATCGGCTAAAAACCTTGAACTTGTCGCAACAAATAACTTATTTTTTTGTAAAGTGGAGAAAATTAATGTTTTGTTTAACTAATTTTGGTTTTTTCATATATGCATATAGGTAGAAATTCAGCCTGCCGTTACAGTGTTGCCAGTTAAGCCTTTTTGAGGCTGTTTTCTTTGTCGTTTAGCGTTGAAAGTTAGGATTTAGCTTCGTGACATTTTTCTAGCATTTTCAAACTAGTATTTTTTAAGGACAATCCTCCACAATATTTGTAAGTAGTAGCACTAAATTATTGTTCCGGTTCATTTTTACTTGACGAAATGTTAAGCGAATATTACACGGCGGCATCGCTCCGTCCGACGAAATTTATTCAGTGAACTCATTCTGTTTATACTTTAACAGTTTTTTCAGGGGCTCGCAAGTGTCTCTATAAAACCAGGAAAAGCATGTTATTTCTTAGAACTCCGCACTCCACTTGAATGACGTCAAGCACTACATCGTGAGGGAGAAAGGTTTTTAGTCGCCGCTGCTATGCCGTAGCCATTCGGAGGTTCTTAGCCCCTTCATCGCTTCTGCTATTGCGTCACATGCTGCACGAGTGACTCAGGCCTGAAGCTCTCGCCAGATATGTTGCGAAGTTTGCATCTGGTATTGTCAAATGGCATACACTAAAAAAATACGTATTCTATTTCATCTCCTTGGCAGTAGTGCAGGGCCGTCAAGAGAAAACTCGGGCCCGGACTGAAAAATCACGAGCTTATATACATAAATTGCATTAATTTAAAAGCACGTAGTATTTGCTTTAATGTATAGTCATAAACAATCAGCACGAATCGGAATATATTTATAGTAAAAGCCTATAACGAAGGAGCAATTACATTGTAAAAAAAATAATAGCAAGTTATGGTTCAGATATTTCAGGCCCTTTAGAAAACCCGCGCCCGAGGGATTCACCCCTTTCCCCCTCCCTCTCGACGGGACTGCGTAGAAGGTATGCTTTGAAGCACCCGTGTCGAGTTAAACAGTTTGTCAAATAGAAATCGACTTCGCCGTTTAGTTTGCTTCGTTTGCGTATATATACGGTTTGCTCTTCACTATGCGCGCCCCAATTGAAACATTCACGATTGTAATCGTATTGTAATGTATGAAGATATTTGGTGGTACTAATGTACCACTAATTTGTCTTTAAGGACTATGGGCTTTCAGACCCATAAAAGAGTCCACTTTATTATTAATTAATTAATTAATCCAAACGGTTTTTTACCCTCCATTCCCGCCCAACCGACACGAGGGGCGCAGTCCACATGACGTACGGAACTTTTTTGTTTGTTTTTGTTTTCTGGTGCCGAGTAGTGGAAACAGGAGTTTGTTAAGTGTCGAGATCTAAAACTATTCAGCTACAGAAAATCAAATTCATCAGCTGATTGGATGTGCTAAGATAGTATTTTAATTATTGAGAGTCGAGATTATAGTTTTCTTTATAGTAAAAATCAAGCCTTTCATTAATTTTACGATAAATATTATACCTAGCATTTCTCTACGACTTGCGAGTACATAAACTGTGATTAATCAGTAGCTACTGAAGCTTATTCACTCAAAATTTTGGCATTGCCTTCCGAGAGGCTACCTCTATTAACAAAAGCGTTTTATTTTCTTTTGTTTTTGATGTTAATCGGAAACTGGCCTCGATCTAAGACCTGATGGAGTGGCAGTGCGCACCTCTGAATAGAATTTGCAGTTCAAAAAAAAAACATTTTTTACTGCTGCGATCGGTTTTACAGAGTGTTTGGTTTTAAATATTTGTTTCAAGCTAAGCAAGTCAGAAACTCGCTCAACTATTTGAAATTTATTACCAACTGAGTTATAATCGCCAAGTGTACAAACGGTGACAGGTAATAAGATCAACGGAAATAAAGTCAATTGGCTTTATTTCCAACCCTGACGCCCATGAGCACTGGAATAGCTGCGCTTGATTGTAGTTGGCTCACATGAAAAAAGTGGAAAAAAACAACAAGGGTTTATAAGGCGAACTTAGCACAGTGCCTAGGCAACTGGCTGAGTTAGCTGGGGTCGTTGGATCGAGTCCCACTGAAAGAAGTCTGATCAGGAAATGTGCTGATTTCCGAAATAGCTATCACTTCTACCATTTTTTCAAATTGTTGTCGCTTTTCCACAATAGTTTTTCATTAAAAACGGCCTCAAGCTCAATAAAAATTGTTGAATATTTTTTGTTTATGGATAAATCCTAAAATTTTGTTTAGCAAAGTCCTCATCATTTTTTGAGACGTTTGGGGCGAATTCAAAGTGCTTAGTTAAACCATTGTTCACTGAATCACTAACAAGAGTTAAGCTATGAATTTAAATTCAGTCACATAGTGAGCTATGGAAATTCGTATGGAAAATCAATAGGGGTCCTCCCTTAAACTCGTAAAAGCCTCGTAAACCTCGTAAAGCTCGTAAATTTACGAGTATCGTAAAAGAACTGATGCGCAAACGAAATCGTAAACTTCAGTGTTGCCGGGGGGAAGAAATTTTTATACTAAAATGTATGATAAAATAGTGAAAATCAATGAAAAAGTAATACGGGAATTAAATGAATGAATT